GGGGTTTGCAGAGGGGTGGGACCTCAGACAGGTAGAATGCCATAGACTCCACCCTCCAAACCAGCCATTTTGTCCTGGGTAACAATTGTTGCCAATCTCCTAGAGATCACTCAAAATTACAACTGCTCTTCAGGTAGCAGAGATCAGTTCCTCTGGAGAAAACAGTGGACTCTGTCATTATACCCTGCTGAGGTCACCACAGCAAATTGACACTGTTTGCCCAAAGCCAGAGCACTCTCCCAGAGCCTCTTTCTAGATCTCGTTGTATTTATTTCCACAACGGGCCTTATTCCTAGTTTACAATAATAGATTAGAATAGTAGATTGTAATGTAATGTAATGAATAGTACAAATTGGAATGTAATTCTCTGGTCTGGGGACAGGGGAGATGATTCTGCACAGCCAATCAACCCACTTCAAAGAAGAAGCTATAAAGTTGTCTCCATGCTTGAGAGGAAGATGGCAGGGTCTCAATTAATTACTCTCAGCATTCTACAGCTAATGATACATCAAGCTCCAATTCTGACGTATCTGTTTCCTTCACTGTTTTTGCCCCAGAATTGAACCCAAACAAATGGTTATAGACTGCTAATTTACAATTTTGTTTCTGTCTCTGTCTTGACTCTAATTGGCCCTTCCTGGCAACTAACCTTCCCCCCTCAATATGTAATGGTTGAAGAAATTCTGTTTCACCGTATCTGAAGAAGTGTGCGTCCACACAAAAGCTTATACCTTGAATGAAACTTTGTTGGTCTTAAAGGTGCCACTGGACTAAAATTTTGTTCTACTGCTTCAGATCAACACAACCACTCATCTGGATCTATCACTTTGAAGTGAACAGGCATTTGGCAAAAACTTGAATTGTAAAATCAGTAATAGAAACAGAAAAACAAAAGACTGAAACATTTTATTGTTCTAAATTATGGCTATAAATTACGGCAAAGGGAAAACTCAGAGGAATCTCTAAAATAAAGCAGCTAGTGATTCTTAGGTTTTAGCACCGTGGACTGAAAACTGGTTTAACAATTATTCAACCTCCCCAGGGAGAGGTGCAGAGAGGGAACGGAAGGCGGGCAAACTGATCCAGGCCCCACTGTTCATCTCTTGCCTTATCTGTTCATCTCTTGCCTTATCACCATATATCAGCTGTGTCTTGACAGCACTTTCCACCACCAGTGTGAATCAGCATTCATGGTCATGCAGCATGCTCATGGTCAAATTTATCATCAATAAGCACTGTATATTAAACTCTATAAAATGCTTGTCAATATTCCATGTACTTAAACATGTTATGTTATCTTTATTATCTACCATTGCAGTGGGAGGGGTGTAGGAGGAGGTCCCTAAGCCTATATTTTGTCCTGAGCCAATGCGACCTCTCTGTTACTCTGTCCTGAGGAACACCCAGTGGGTGGGATGAGGGGCACCAGCCCAGAATGCTACCCTCACCATATTGCAGTTCTCACGGCTTTGTGGGAAAACACACTAAAACATGCATACTTCTTCACAGCATTTATGGCTATGTGAAACAGATAAGCTTATGTTTGTTTGTGCTGGAGGTGTTTTACAGATTATTAACACTATGTCTAATTCTGAATGAGGCCTTAGAGTGTGGATCAAAAAATCCACACAGTAGAGCTGGGAATGGACAGGGGTACATTTCTGCAAACCTGAGTGAAGCCCTTGGTTTGCAGAAAAATCTGAAATCTTAAAAACAAATACACTGGGATTTTTAAAAATCCAAATAACAGAAACAATGTATGTAGCATTAAGAGATTACTACCCACTGAGATCTCATAATACTATGTTGTGACATGTTGGCAGTCATGGGGGGGGGGGTTTCTAGGCAACCCCCAGCCAATATTGCTGATTGTTACCAAGCCTCAGTTAGTGTCAGTGCAGGGGATAGGGGACAAGGGGAGAGACAGACCAAAAAAGAAGCAAAAGATAGGAGGAAAGGAAGATAAAAGGTAAAGGGGGGATCAAAACAGGAAAGTTGAAGAGGTGAGGGAAAGAAGAAAAGGTGGAGGAGTGAGGGCTGGGGCAGAGGCTCTGGGGCAACAGAAATAGATAGATGGGTGGGTGGGAGAAAAGTAAAGGGGAAGAGCTTTAGATATTGCCAGGAAAAGCAAGGGGAAGAGAGGGAGTAGAGAAATGAGACACATATCCCCATTGAGTCCTCACGGGGACTCACTTGTACATGTCTAATCACAGTCTCCTAAGCATGTCTACATCTGCTGAAACACATGCAACAGCTTTAAACAGATTTCATGTTTTCTCTCATATATATGTTTCCAAATCCTCTTTATGTTTTTTGTTTTTTTCAAATAATTGTGGTCATGAATCCGTTACAAAAGATGCATTAATAACTTCAGACAATGTGCCTTTTGTCAAAATTATTATGTCTCCTATAAAAGTTATTCATTTCAGTAACACTCTTAAGAAAGTGGTTTTTAATTAAAATTAACAACAGTTTTATGTTGAAACATATTTCTTTCATTTGGAATGTTTGGAGGTGAAAGAAATGTAGACATTGTTGCCAAATGAAATCCATTAAGGCTTTTACGTTTAATTATACAATATGTTCACTTGGACTGATCTAAAAAAAATGGGGAAAACTCTACATCGACTTGTGGCAAAAAAAAACCTAGGCCAGCATTAAGTCTTATGTAGAGTGAGGAAAATGCCTCAAAGTGTTGGAACAGACTCTGTGCTCACTTTGTTATCGCCTTATATGGGTTCCTCAACCAAATTTATACTGCAGAAACATCAACTGAATTAGATGAACCAAGCCCAGCTCAATTACAGTTCATAAACATGGTTTTACCCTTTCTGCTAAACTTTATAGTTATGATGTCGATAGTATAACAAGTCATGTCTTCAAATGTGATTTTCCAATTGCTGAACAACAAAGAAAAATGACCACATTCATTAATTTGATGACAAATGGAAATGTATGCTACTCATTTACTGCGGTACATTGTTGAAATGCAAATGGACAGCAGTGTTCTATTACTGAAAACACACATGCACACCAGTCTCAATGGCAGTCAAGTTATTATGGCACTAAAATTCCTTTGATTTTGCCTATAATAAAGCTACCTCTAAATAAGTTTCAAGTCTAAGGGATAACATTAACTGGACATTCAATGGGAGCAGTGGCGCAGGCAGTAAGAGATGCCTGCACATACATCTGGCCGAACAGCTTCGGCTGTTTGAGCCCCACCGTGGCCAGGGTGAGCGCCCGGCCCTATGTCCCAGCTCCCGCCCACCCAGCAGCTCGAAAGCCCGTTAAAGGGCGATTAGACTAATGGGTACCTGCTACTAGAGCGGGGGGGGGGGCACCCATCCCTGTGTTGCAGCAGCAAGCAGCAAAGCGAAGCAGTGGGCGGCGGGGGAGAAAAATGGTGGCTGGCGAGGCAAGGAACGAGTGAGCGGAGGCCAGACCAACTGGCGCGGAGGTGGAGCAACGCAGCAGGCCGGAGCCTCATCGGGACAGAGGCCGCAGCGGAGCATGCGCGGAAGTGCGAGTGGTCCTGGCCGGAAATGGAATTGCTACAGCCGGAAGAAGGGAACTCCAAAGACCAGCACCAGAAAAGGACGCCGCCGACTACTGCCCTCAAGAACAGGACAACAACTGAAGATCCGCCACAAAAAGGGTGCCTGGTAGGGTAGTCACCACCCCTGTATATCTGTGACCCTAGGTTAGATTCTGTAAATGTGATTAGCACTCTCTGTAAGCCACCCAGAGACCCTTAGGGGTTAGGGCAGGATAACAAATCGAATAAATAAAATAAACAAATAAATAAATAAATTTAAAATATACAATGTCTATTGCATTAATGTGTGATTATGATCTTCATTTATTATCTTTATTTCATACAATTTCATATTATTATCTTCATTTCATAATAGTGACCTTCTGGTACATCACAATAAATAAGGATGAGGGTGGGAAACGGTTCTTCTCCAACAATGACAAATCATTTAGTCCAAAATATTTCTGATTTTTTAAAATGCAATTTGAAGCCTGCATACTAGGAGTACCTCCAGCTGAGTGACGGCCACAGAGGGGGACTCTCCCCCACTTCCTGCCTATTGAGGACCCCCTTCCTTTTTTCTTCTGGATCAAAGGACCCACAAAAACAGTGTAGGTCTGTGGCAGATGGCAGGAATTTCTGCCAATAGAAGTACCATTCCACTGCTCTTATGCTGGTGGAATGTTACTGCTGTAGTGCTGGGGGAATGGCACCTCAAGCACCAATACCAAACCATCTGTCAGTTGGACCATGAGTGGAGGCAGTAGACTCCACTCTCTTTCTAGCCATTATAAGAATGGTACAGATCTGCCATGCTGCTCCAATAACATGGGAACTGGCCAAAAGGAACACATGATCAATTATTTTAGAGGCTAACATAAAGACCAGGGCACCACTGCTGTCTCTGGACAACCATACGAACACCTACTTTATCTACAAAAAAGGCTTAGAAGAAGAGTTATACCCCACCCTTCACTAGGAGTCTCAGAGTGGCTTACCATCTTCTTTCCTTCCTCTCCCCACAACAGACACCCTGTGAGGTAGGTGGGGTTGAGAGAGCTCTGAGAGAACTGCTCTTGAGAGAACAGCTCTAGAAGAACTGGGACTGACCCAAGGTCCTATCAGCTGGCTAAATGTGGAAGAATGGGGAATCAAACCTGGTTCTCCAGATTAGAGTCCACTGCACTTAACCACTACATCAAACTGGCTCTCTTTGGTTAATCTACCATTGTAAGAGAATTCACACGAATGCTTCTTAGATGACAAATACTTAAACACATCCACAAACACATGCAATGGGTGCCATGTTTATTTATTTATAATTTCAATTTATATAGCACCCTTCCCTGAATTCACAGAGCTCAGGGTAGTTAACACAGAAGATATACAAAATAAAATTCAAAAAAGAAAACAGTTAAAAGTATATATGCCTATATCCAATTAAAACTTAAACAGCTCTTACCTGGATGTTGTGAAAATGCCATAGATCATTGTTGTTCTAGGGTTATCTGTTTCTAGTAGGAATACATCCTCTGTGGAAAAGAAATAACACAGCTACTCAATCTGTTCACCATTTTGTGATTTCCAGCCCTCAGATTGATGCCCTGCCCTTAATCCCACCTGAAACTAATAAGAAATTTTGCTCTGTCTATAAATGGGCAGAGAGCCATATAACATTCTTCTTTTAACATCAGCAAGAACCAATTTCCTCCCCAAAACTAGTGTTACGAAATTAATGTGTCAAGTGGGTAAGCAGGGTCGGCTCTTCCACTAGGCCAACTCCAAGGGGTGCAGCGAGGCCCCCGCCGCCCACCCGCCCCCAGCTTGGCTTTCTGGGCACCAGCCCTGCACGAGGGCCTGTGGAGGGAGGAAGCGCCGCGGTTCTGGTGAGCAGGACTGGCGGTGGGTTCAGGCAGCTTCCCTTCTGTGTGGCTGCAACCCCTTCCTCGGATTTTTTGGTGTCGGGGTGTGTGTGTGTGGGCGGGTGGGCAGGTGTCGACTGGCCCTCATTGGTTCCTGCTCTCTCGCTCAGGGCTCCTCCCGGCCAGCAGCAACCATGAACGTGAGGAGGGTGGCCAGCATCTCCGTGTAGTTGGAGAAAGCCGGCTCGACGGGTGGTGGTAGGGCTCCTGCTCCCCCGGGAGCGGTGCAAACTTTGCCGAGGGGGGGTTGGTGGTGGGAGAGAGGGGCTGCTGGGAGGGAGGGAGGGAGGGAGGGAGGGAGAGTCCTGGGCAGCTGTGAGGGTGCCTGAAGGGGGCACGCCAGAAATTGGTGGGTGCATGGGGGGGCACCAGAAGGTATCTTCACCTAGCATGCAAAAATACCTGGGGTCGGCCATTTAAGTTTCCAAATGGAGAAAAAAGTGACTCCCAGGTTCCACTTGGGGCAAAAATAGGGGTATTTCTCCCTGCACACTATGGTTGTGATCAGAATTGGGCCCATGTCCCAGTTTATGACAGGTATTTGCACTTGATCAGATTTGTTTCCAGTATATTAAACATATCTGAGCCCCCCCCAATGTTAGGATCTAAAATTTTGTTATTTAATTAGTATACTTAAGAACTGCCATTACTCACATTCATACATAGTATATGCTTAAAACTACATAGTACTTGCACTACACAAAATCTGGTGAACTTTTCCATAGCAGATAATAACTGGTGGATTTGGACAACTGCTTCCTCCCACCCCATATTTATCAGTAAACACAGTCTCTGAGTAGGATGAACCTGTCTGTGGACCAGTGTTTCCAAACCTGTGTGTCCTTACCCAAAACTGTGTTGTGAAGCCTATGAATGTGGGAAGGGATGGGCACGAACCAGCTGATGAACCAAAGTTCATCATGAATTTTGCCCAGTTTGGATTTCGCGAACTGAAGTTCATGAACTGACGAACCACAATGAATTGCCTTGAAATTTGGGTGCAGTTCATGGTGGTTTGTGACCCTTTGTGAAGAGCAGAAAGCAGGGGTTTAGCCTCTTCCCTGGCAATCCACCCTTTTTTTCTGGCTGTGCAGCCAAGAGAAAGGGGGATGGGAAGTCTCTTCCTCAGTGATTCCCCCCCCCCCTCTCCTGGAGATGTAGCCAGGAGAAAGTAAGAAGGGAACCTCTTCCCTGGTGATCCCATCTCCCTTTCGCCTGGCCACATGGCCAGGAAAAAGCAAGGAAGGAGGCCTTTTCCGTGGTCATTTCTCCCCCTTTCTCCTGCCCCCTCTTTTTGCTGGCCACTTTTTTTTTTTACTGTCTTCTGGAGTAATTTTACTTTTTTTAAACTGGAGTAAATTTACTTGCCGAAGGCAGCTCAAAACAGCTGTGCAGCAGGGAGCATCTCCCCACCATGCAGCTGGTTCTTGCACTGTTTTGCAGTCCCTTTAACCTTTAAAGGGACTGTACAAGATAGCCCAAAACAGCTAAGCAGTGAGGAGCAGGCTGTTCCCTGCTGCTCAGCTGTTTTTTTTAGCTTTCTGCAAATCCTGTTAAAGGGACTGAAGTCCCTTTCAATAGGGTTTGCAGGGCCCCGACCCACACGAACCTGTTCGGTTTGTAAATGGGCCTTCTGGCTTGGTTCAGGGTTCAGTTCACGCTGATCCACAAACCAAACTCCAGACCGCATCCCATTTTCCCAGTTTGAGCCCATCCCTAAATGTGGGGCCAGGCTTCTGCAGTTGTAATTATTTATGAATGATCTGTTTTTTCAAGTTGGTTCCCCTACCAAGTAAATTTGGACTTCTGGGTCACCATACCAATAAGGTTGGAGACCACTGATGTAGACTCTACCATATGGCAGTTTCCTCTCTCCTTCCCTTGCTGCCATTATTATCTCAAACATTCCTTTGTTCTTCTTGGTTAGTTCCAAGCACCATCACCTTCAATGATTCTGTGTGCAATGTTAGGAGGTGGAAGCACAGTGAACCAAGAAGCAGGTGGCACCAATAATTTAAAAAATGGTAGGCAGGAGTGTCATACAGTTCAGGTATTTAGGGAGGGGCTGTAGCTCAGAGGTAGAACATCTGCTTTAAATGCAGAAAGTCCCAGGTTCAATCCCTCCAGTTTATTTTTTTAAAATGATCAGGCAGTAGGTAAGACCTCTGCCTGGGACCCTGGAAAGCCACTGCCACTCTGAGTACTGACTTTGGTGGACCAATGGTCTGACTGTATAAGGCAGCTTCATGTCTGTCAGCCTCAAAGACTGTAAAGGCCAATTCACGTGAGGGAAAAGCTCTGACAAGATCAGGCTTGACCAAAGCATCTCTTTCACCTTGGGAGGTAGCTCCACTCTCTTCCTCAGACACAAAACTGAATGCCTCAGGATCACCTGAAGCCCCAGAGGCCTTAGCTTAATAAGCATGGTGAGACCCATAAGCTCCAGGGGCACCCCAGTCCTGCCAGAGTTCCTGCCAGCATCACGGAACATGGTTCCTTCTATTCCTATCAGTTTCTTCAAAAAAGTGGGACTCAAGCATACGGCCCACTGGCAGGACTACTTAAGCCAGTGTTGTGCAGTGGTTAGAGGGTCAGACTAGGACCTGGTAGATCCAGGTTCAAATCCCCATCCTGCCATGGAAGCTCCTTGGGTGACCCTGGGCCAGTCATACACTCTCAGTCTAACCTACCTCACAGGCGGTTGTTGTGAGAAGGCAGAGGAGGGGAGAATGATATAAGCTGCTACAGGTCGTCCCCCCCACTGGGGAGAAAGGCAGGGTATAAATGAAGTAAAGGCAGGGTATAAATGAAGTAAATGAACACAGCCTCTCAGTTAGCCTACAGCCTTCATTAGAGAACATCTTAAGTTCCATGCTGGCCTGTATCCAGCCTCTTGCCACCAACCCACAGAAGGACTAAATAGATGAAACTTGTTTTTACATTTCTGTACATTGAAGTTACTAACATTTTACCTAATTCATCAAAGTAGGTTTCTGTCCCATCATCATCCATTACTGAACACACAAGTCTTGCCTTCAAATAAGTTGTCCACTTGTTCACAAGGCTACGCTGTCCACCTGTGTCATTCTGAAAAGAAACAAAAAATTACAAGCGGAAGCAAAATAGTCTGATGTGTACTGGTCCTTGCACTAATATTCAGTCTCTGCCTAAGCGTATACAAACAGGATGCAGGATGCACCCACACATCAGTGGATACTGCAGTGTAGCAATTGTCTGCAACTGGAATGTCTTGTCCACACAGAAAAATCCAGCTTCAAACAACTGCAGTTACACATGATTATGAAATATTCAATGACACATCGATGCACAAACCATTAGAAAACTGCAGACTTCCAGCTCTTGCCTTGGGAACAGCCATCTTAACAAGCTCTTTCTGGGCATATTCAATGGATGTTCAAATAACCAATTGAACATGTGTTTATTGATCAATAAACACTGGAGACAAATGTGAAGGTAAGGGGTTTGCAATGTAACCATACTGTAGAGCTTTCCTGGGCCGTATTATCTCAGACTGTTGATAGATAGACTTCATGTTCAAATGTTTTTTCTCCAAAATAAAGTGTTTGAGCCCAGCCTTCTCCCTTATTTGCCAGTTATCTACATGGGGGGTCTCACCCCAAAAGAGAATATACTATACCTCACCTATGGTCTAATGTGACATGACCCAAAGAAAACTACATCATCTGGTCCTGCTTCATGTGCAGAATGGCAAGTAGTCATATGAAAGGAATGGTGCCAGGAGACTGACACAATATGGAAGATATATTTTCCTTTCTAACAGTGACCATCAAGACCCCGTCTGAACCTTCCTGAGGAGATTCTTAATGCCAGCTTCTTGTAAAGTTGTCAAGGGAGCAGTAGTACACACCCGTCAAGCTCCTGTTCTTCTGAAGGCTGCTCTTACAAACCTTGGCATTGACAGCGCAAACAAAATTGTGCCCTGAGACTTTTAAGAAGTCATCTGGGATTCATTATGACAACAATGTGTTTTTTTACATCTATTGTCAAATGCATCTGGGCCTGTTTGAAAAACAAAACAGCGAAAACAAAGCCTAGGTCATGTGTTGTACTGCTTCAGTGCAGAAGGAACCAAATAATGGCAGAACAGAGCTATTCCACTAGTAACATTAAAGGAAAACTTAACTCCCCTACAAGTTACAAAGAATGGTAGTTCTGAGTCAATAAGAATTGTGGAGATGAAGTCTCCTTAGGCAGTACAAAAGGAAAAGCCAAGTGGTCCAGGGGGGGGGGGGGGGGGGGGTTGGGGGGGGTGAAACTCTATTGCATGTGCAGCAGTAAGGAGGCAGCACTGTGTTATACCCACTGCAACTGGGGCAGTGGGGGTCTGTTTCATGTACAGTGGTTTGCAGAGTGGGGGCAGGTTGCCTGTAAACCACTTCTCTCTCCCTACCTGCAGCAGCAGGGGGAAGGGAGCACACAGTGGAAAGTTCTACAACTTCTGGCACTTGTCTCAGAACTCCGCAGCCCCATGCAAATGGCAGCCATTACTGTTGACTTGAATGAAGACCACCAGCTTTAGTTTCCAGTTACAAATGTAGTGGAAAGGACGTAACTATGATGTGTGGGATTATATGATCAGCTGAAAATGTGCAATAATGTTATCAAAAACAATGGTACAATGGCAGAAGTACAATGTAATTCTACATCTTGCTAACCAGGGCTTTTTTGTAGAAAAATCCCAGCAGGAACTCATTACCATTATAGGCCACACCACTGAAAGCACAGCTCATTAGCATATTAGGCCACACACCATGCCTTCCCTTGGCTTGCCGGGGCGCCCTGTGGCTGCAGGGAGACCTGGCAGGCCGGGGAAGGCACAGGGAGGCATTTAAATGCCTCCCTGATCCTTCCAGGCCCCCGGCCCGCCCTCCTCGGAGTCACCGGGGGTCACTCTCCAGGCCTTCCCTCTGTGGCCACGCACGCAGAGGTTTTGGCTGTAGTGGGCATGGCCAGCTCTGAAGCCAACCAGAACTCCGTTCCTGTGCGTTCCTGCCCAAAAATAGCCCTGTCGATGCTAACAATATTGAAATCAATGTGATGACAAGGGTATATTTCTCCTTAGGATGGCACTGACAGATGCAAAAGGCACTGCCTTCAAGGTAATTTTCTGGTCACAACAACAATCATCACAGGTAGAATGAATTTTATTAATGAAATAAGGGCAAAATGGCTCCAACACCACTAATATAAAACTTTCAAAGCCACAAAAATATACAGAGAGAGATACTGCAGAGCAGGCAATGCATGAAGGGGAAATGTGTGTGTGTGTGTGTGTGTGTGTACGCGCAACATATTAAATAATTTTTATTTCGTAAATGTATCGACTACCTTTCAACCAGAAATTGTCCCTAAGGTGGTTCACAATACAATTAAAAGAAATCAGAAACCATAAAACAACTAAAAGAAAACTGTAAGAAAGGAACCACTTTCCACCCTTCAGTGCCAACATATAAATCCCTATGATAGTCCCTTAGCCAAAGGTCCTTAGGAACAGGTGAGTCTTGAAAGCAGCCTGCAAGGCCCTCAGGGATGTGGTCACTGTGACCTTTTCGGGGCAGGCTTTCTCTAGGTGGGGGCTGGTAACAGAAAAGGTCTTTCTTCAACCAAGCTTTGAATAAAACCGGTTTGCCAAGGAAGGCCTCCTGTGTAGATCTCAAGTTTCAGCTTGGACACTTTAAGTGAAGATGGTCTATTAGTTACTTGTGATCCAAGCTGTTTAGAACCTTAAAGGTCAAAACCAGCACCTTGCACTGGGCTCAGAAACTGGAAGATGACAGAACATTTGCTTAATATCATCACAGTGATATTTCACAGTAAGGATCCCTAGCACAAGGGGATACACTCAGCATGTCTGTGAACTGAAGAACTCTGAAGGTTTCTCTGAATATTCATTTCAGCTCTATATTGTAGTAATTATATAGTGTGCTTCTATGCGAATATGCTTACAGAAGAACTTTTAAAAGCAAATAAACTGTGATTCACAATTAGTTATCTTTGTTCAAGTAAAATTTCCTATTTTAAAAAGTGTTTTAAGGATTACCCCTTATCTGTCCTGAGGATCACCATGCCAAGGTTCAGGCATCTGGTATGTATAACTTGTTAAGAGGAGAGAGAGAGAGTTTTAAATTGAAGCGCAACTATTTTTTCCCCAAAAAGAAAGCACAGCACTTTCTCCAGCTATGGCAATTTCCAAACAGTTTTGGATTAGGCAGTTATCCTCTGTTGAAAGATCGTATCCAGTTATGCAAAGCAGAAATGATCAAGGAAGTCAATAATGCCTCACTGTAAATGGAAACATGGACACATATTAATCTTGCTCACTTGTTCCATCATGCTGTTTCAGTTCTACTGTGCAAAATGAGGCATGGGCTATTTAGTGATTCCCTACAAAAGGGCTGTATCTCATTTTGGTGATCCTAAGCAGAACAGTCCAGGAATCATTTCAACACACTGCATTCTTTTTGCTAAACCAATTAAGCCAGCCCAAAATAGCATGTAAGAAAGGTTTGCTTACAGGGCATATTCTAGCAATCATTGAATGAATCTGCTTAGTGCTGCCACTGTTGTCTGTTAGTTTTTCTTTGAAGAAGAAGTACACTTTAGCGTCGTTGGGGTCGGTACCATCTGGGATGAGATGAGCATCTACAAAAATTGGCTCTGAAACAACAGCAGAGAGCAAACATCATGAACACAGATCAACAATGCAGAAGCCAGCAAGCAATTGTGTTGAGATCGTTACAGTCTGGAGTATTGAACTGGTCTCAATGGATACATATTTTGTAAGCCGCCTTTGATTGGAAATGGAAAAAGAGGATTATAATTTTTTTTCAAATAAATTCAGTACCAGTTGTGAAAGTTCTTAATGTATTTGCCAAGATTTGTCAGGTAATGGGATTAACATGTGCTCTCTTGTTTTCTGGTTTATTAAGACTACACGCTTAGATGGCTGAACACAATATTACAGAAAAGAGAGAAAATCTGGAATATGATTCTTCATATATTGGTGGAAAGCCCACTATGTATTTCATACATCACAACTGACCACAGGCTGGATTTATGTGTTAGAGGTGTAGCACTGCCATGTCCACATGGAATAAACAGAGGCCATGTTGAAAGTTACAGCATTAGTACAGTTTTTGCCATGTGATCCTGTTCCTCCAATATAGTTTATACACACTTACTAGCAGTGCCACATAAGATGGAGCCATGGAGAACAGGAACTACTGTTCTCATAATGTGAGAATTAGGACATAGATTGATGATACAAGACCCAGTTCAGTAACCCCTTGAATTCACTGAGATTACTTATTTTAAAATGGTCATAGTACTGCATAGTATCCTATCCTAAGGGCCTGCAGATACAGGAAGCATAGCCAAGACATGTTGCTACTAATATTCATATAGCCTTGATCTTTAAAGTATGATATGTAAGCAACAGAATTCCTTCTTCTCAACCTGAAGCATCACTCCACTTTGATTTGCCATGCCAAAAACATGCTAGCCTGCTATAATATTTTTGCAACTGACAATATTCTTTGTTCAAAGACCTCAAGTAACCTTTATTTCTATGACATCTCAAAGGCATTAAGCCCAATAGTGATCATTGAAGTCCTACCCAAACATGGTGATCCAAGGGAAGTATGTATTCTAAAAGTCTGATTTGTTGCCGTTACGCACACACCTATTACTAAATTGAACTCAGTTCTGTGTCCTGGGAACATTTTCCAAGTATTTAATTTTAAGAGATTTGCGGTGCAACGCAAAATAGTGTTACATTCTCCTAAACTCAATGGATTTTGAAGGGTATAATCGTGCTTAGTACTGCACTGTTATTGTATCTGGTGGCAGGCCAACACCACTATGGCATTTCCAGTGTGGTCCAGAAGTGATGTCATGTCAGATGACACTCTAGCATTCACCTCAAACTTAATGGTTAAACCAACATAATGATATCATCTCCAGAATGTTCCAGAACTGACATCACAACATTACTGGAACCGCCTCCCCCGGTAAGTCTTCCATGGATTGCCAAATTGAGATAAGCAAGCCTACATAGTCTGGTAATCCATTTACATACTCTGGCAATCCATTTGATTAATTTTTCTGCACTTGAACTTGTCAAATTGACATGTCTCTCAGGCTCATATTCTAAACCAGCTGTTCTCAAACTTTTGGAAATGGGACCCAATGCTCCCTATTTCAGTCCATTTCTCACATTATACAGATTCGTCTTTCATAGAATCATAGAATGTTAGAGTTGGAAGGGATCTTCCAGGTCATCTAGTCCAACCCCCTACACTCTGCAGGAGCATAACTCCTCTCCCCCCTGCTTTCAGCCTCTCCCCCCTGCTCATCCTGTTTCTCTTCCTTATTCTTGGCCTGCAGTACAGCTGGTAAACCACTTTTGATTTCTGAATCACAGTCTGACAACCTACTGCTTTAGGCACAAAATTGTGTTTGGCTACTGAAAAGTAATGACTGAATGATGTGTTCCCTTCAAAGATCTAAGAATTTATCCAAAATGTTTGCATCCTGGTATTTTTTGCATTCAGATGTTTTCTTTGCCACACACTCTACATTACTACCTATACAGTCTAAGCATCTCTCCTCCCTGCCTTATCTGATCTATTGAATCATTCTTGGGTAACTTCATATCAATATTGCCAGCATTTAAAAGATAACCCTAGTAATCTTAACTTGGAATTATCGAAGGGGTAGTTCACATATCATGGCAGCCTCCCATATAGCTGCCTCAGGAGCACATGGCTTTTTGCCACTAGGTTTGCAACCAGGCTTTATTTGCACTAAGATACTATTTATGTGAAATGGAGTCGGAAAGAACATAGCATCTTCTTACAAAGGGGTGGATCCTACCCAATCCTAGCACTCCATGGAGCACATTAATTAAAATAAATTAAATTAAAATTAATTAAAATATTTATACCCCACCTTCAGTCTGGCTCAAGTTTGAAGCCTCCCTCCAAATTAAGTGGCTTTTCTACTGGAGGAAAAACCACTTAAGCTGTTGGAATGCTCCTTAGGCTGGAAGAAGGCTCCTTGGAGGATGGCTATATCCATGCCCAGTGGCTATATCCATCAGTGGCTATTAGCCACAAGGAATAGATAGGGACTCTGGGGCAAGTGATGCTCTGTCATCTTGGTGCTTGGGGGGGGGGGGTAAACAGTGGGAGGGCTTCTAATGTCCTGGCCCCACTGGTGGACCTCCTGATGGCACTGGTATTTCTGGCCACTGTGTGATACAGAGTGTTGGACTGGATGGGCCTTTGGCCTGATCCAACATTGGCATCTCTTATGTTCTTATGTCTCTATGCCTACAGTGCATCCCCAGACACTAAAGCTGAGACACCTGAGTGAAGCATTTGCTTAAACGCTGCTTTTTTACATTTGTAACTGGAGGATGTTATTGGCTTAGATCAAAGGGAAGCTCTCTACAGATGGAGGGGAGGGCTTCCCCAGATTTCTCCCTCCCACAGCCAAACTCCAACTCCTCCTTACATTGTTCTTGGGGGGAGGGCCCCCTGTCTTTCTGGAGCAGCCTTTGGGGAGAATTTTGGGATCCAGCAGGAGAGGGGAGGCAGGGAAGTCCCACTCTGTTGATGGAAATCCTTTCTGTCAGCAGAAATTGCCAACAGACCCACCCACTGTCATCTTAGAAGGGGAAAGATGCAACCTGATACCAGCTCTACCCAGAACCAATTAAGTCTGCATGTCATTTGAAAAAGGATGCAGGGAAAAGGCCTCTTGATGAGGGCCCAATGCATCATTTCCCCTCCCTCTTTACCTTTTTGTTGTTGTTTCTTGTTTTTACTTCCCGTCTTGGTGAACAGTACTGGAGAACACAAAAATTCTCACACTGAATTTAATCAATGGTATTTCACAGGTTTTGTTTTACCATTTCCACAGTGATGGAGACACTTTCTCTGAGTTGTTGCCCTGAGGGCTATCACAACAGGCACATGCAGAACCCTAGGAGATTGATCCAACTGATACTGCCACTCTAGCATGACCCAA